AACCCTAAAGCCCTAGACCCTAGACCCTAAACCCTGAACCCTGAAGCTTAGGAGAACTGAGGCCTGTCCTCAGGGGTCGGACCACTGTCCCAAAAGGTCCCAAGTACTGTTCTTCGGGGGTAGTTTCCCAAATCATGATAAGGATTCCTAATATAGAAACCCTACATTCGACGGCTGTCAGGGTTAAGTGTTTAGGGTTTCACGGGCAGGGAGAACCTGGGGAGTGGAATCTAGAGTCGGAGCTGTGTGCGGGCTTTCTTGAACAGGGTGCACCAGGCAAACACGAGACACCTAAACTTTGGGTACTGCCCCCATACAGTAACAGTCTATAATAGGGCTACTATACAGGGCCTAATATATCCATAATCTAAATATTATCCAACTGTTACTGAGTGGGGGCAGTACCCAACCTAAACTCTACACTCTATCCTTACAGGCCGCAGTGGGACCCACTTCAAGCATGTTGCGTGAGTCATCATCAACCCAGCCAAAAGCAGAAGGATGTCTTAGGGAATGCCGTCTGCGTAACCTTAAGGTTGTGTGTGTGTGTGTATGTATATATATATATATATGTACATATATACACAACATATGTCAAGTGTGAACGAGCTTTCTCTCCTCATGTATTTGCTTTGTCTGCTTACACATGCTTTACATATATCATATGCTGACATGAAAGGGGTCGTGGAGACAGCACGCCTCGGGGCCATCCCTTTGCCCTGCAGCACCGCTTAGGGTTTAGGGTTTGTGGGCTTAGGGCTTAGGTTGATTCCTAAGCCCTAAACCCTGCTAAGAAGTTGATAGCAACGTCCCAGGGGCAAGGTTTTCCTCCAGGCGCGATGCAACAAGCTCCAACTCCTCTTTCCTCGCATGCAGCTGGGGTTCGGGGACGCGATTCCATACATATTTGAATGTCTGCATTAGGTAGTATTATTGGGGTACCCCTTAAAGGGTACTCCTTCTGAACCCTACTTTTGGCTCTCTTAACAGGGACCTTATTGAGAGGGTCTATATCCCAAGGGTCCCCCTAATCCTAGCTCCCATGCATGTAGCCAGGTAAGAACGGTATGAGCAAGGAGCCACGGAGCCCGACACTGAGCAAGCCAAATCCCTCCGGTTGAATGGTCAATGCAAAAACACGCCCAGCAAGATTCAAAAGGCGAAGTCCGAGGTTGTGTGTGATTTTCCTAGGTCCTTAATCTTGAACCTTAAACCCGAAACTCTAAACATTAAAGCCAAACCGAAAACCCAACAGTCTTCGCTGAGTCCTGAGACCAAGAGCAAAGTCATGGAATCCCATAAGCCTTCTGGCTGTTGTGTTTCAGTGAGGCTCCATACATGGGTCCATGCACAGGAATTTAATTCGAGATACAATGACAAGGAAAATATATCGTTGTAATATAGATCCCTATTTTGGTAACTGAAAGTGAGTTCATGTTATGGGCTTTCTAGGGGCAGGTTTGGGCTTTGGGGGCAAAGGTTTGGGCTTTCACCATGGCGGTCCATGAGCCGCAAGGTATGGTATGAGGCTGCGAAAAGACCACATGATTTCGGGTATGCTGGTCCAAGTGCATAGAACATGCTTAAGCCTTGAATGGGGTTCCTATGTACGTACTTTATACATATATATATATATAGATACAGTTAGAAATATATATATATATAGGTACAGTTATAAATATCTACACAAGTACATGTTCGTATATATTATAAACTATATGGGCATATGGACCCTGAGCGTCTTGCACCTCAGGCAGCCAAGGGTCACATGCTTGATGCTGCACCGTTTGCACAGCCAGCATGGAAGGTTCAGCGTGTAGTTACAAGCATCGCATACCTCATCGACACCACTTTGTGCTTCTGTCGTATACTATGGTTGATGGTATAAATCCCGCATTACCCATATTAAGGAGTATACCATAATGCCCATAGTTTAGGGTAATGCAGGATTTATATCACCAACAGTATGTTACTATGGTTTATACCCTAGCTTCTCCTATATTATGCCATTGCCATGTTCGAGGGATGGGAGCCTTCAATCGTTCAGTATGAACCTGCGGGCCGGCTGGGCCTAGTCACTACCCAGAGGCTCCTACCTTAAGGACGAAAGGACCCCCTAAAAGGGGTTAGGGTCATATACCATATCGGGGTTCATAGTATAAGGGTATAGGGCCCCTACTTCTAAGTGTCATATAGGGCCCCTACTTCTAAGGGTCATTTCGTCCTTAAAGTAAGAGGGTCTTGGGCTTTCTGGGGGAGGGCTTCGGTTTTGGGGGCTAGGGTTTAGGGTTTA